CTGCCATCTCAGACCTCAGCACTGACTTTGACAAAGGTATATGGGTCCCCAGTCACACTACCCTCAGGTCTGCCAATAGCTGTAACAGTGAGGTGAGATCCACACAGACCACATGTGGAACTCCCAGGCAGTGAAGACATCCATGGCTGTGCAGCAACTTCCCACAGCCCTGAACCTCCCACCGTGGTCCCCATGTTAGCAGCTATTCCAAGCACATTTCCCTGTGAGCAGTGGTGCTGCTTGGCTTCCAACAAGCTTACATAGGTTTCAAGGTTAGCTCCTTGCAAACAATCTAATGAGGAACTCAATCACTAGAGGCTCTAGACCTAAAATAAAGACGTTTTTCTGTGTTACACCACACTGGTGATTTAAAAATCCCTGCAAGAGTTTCATACGAGCAGTTAATTCTATAAGTCTTATCATGCTTTTTAAAGACTGTGTCATGTAAGAAGAGACCATTTCTATTTGTTCATCACCATATCTTCAGAGCCGAACAGAATGACTTCCATACAAAAAGAGCCCAGTAAAGATAAATGAATGACTTGGAAATTAAGGGGTCCTGCCTTGGGGCATTGCCAGTGGCTAGGACTACAGAGTGGTGTTTGGTCTTAGGGGGGTAATTGGCAGTGGTGGGAGGTGGCATGTGTGTGAGAAGGTGGGAAAGGCACCATCAGAAGACTGGCAATAATAATTCTGTTATTCCCTCCTAGTGTGTCACTGGTACACCGGAAAACTGTAGACCCTGGTCTCTGAGGGTCTGAAGAGAAAGTCCACCGCAGACTTTTCTTGTGCTAGGCCAGGCTTCCATGGGGCAGGAAGCACATACTGCAGAACATGGATCTATAAAAGTCACAGGATGACAAAGTTATGATTCATCAGGTTGGCATTTGGAAGAAAATGAAATGCATCGGAAGATTTTAATAAAAAAATATAATTTGCAAACATAATGATAAGCACAAAGTATTTGGCCTAAGTGGTAAATATGCAATTAGGATAATTTGTGTCTGTTTTAATGAGGTATTTGGAGTAGATTTAGAAAGTGTTGGTATTGTGTTCCCCCTCCCTGGAGAGCTTGTGTAATCTCAAGTCCTGACAGTGTCTGTCCTTCAAAGGGAAAGCTCTCCTTTCAAACCAATGAATATATAAAACCTCAGGTCCATACTCAAATTATGCAATGACCCAATGGGGTAAGATTAAAACCTCTAACCACCTTTGGCTCATTGGAGAGAATAAAGAATGAAACAAATTCATTACTTGGATCCGATTTTGTTAAACTGCATGAAGATGACCCTATAACACAAATGTCCAACCAGCTTAATTACTGAGTATCTACAATGTGCCAGATGTCTTCCCCTTAACATATTTCCAAAAAAGAAAAAAAAATCAGATTTCAGAATCTTCTTCATTGGAAGCCAGAGTAATTTCCATGCAGGAACGATGCTGTCAAAATCAAGATCAACCAGAAGAAATGGAGTCAAGGAGCCTGGGTTCTCATCTCAGCTCTGTCTCTAGCCATCTGTGTGACCTTGGACTGTCAATTCCCCTTCCTTTGCTTTATTTTTCTGCAAAACGAAAGGTTTGAGCTGGAATGATATCTAAGATCTTCTTCCTCTCCCAAAGTCTATAAATATATGACCTGAAAACTGGTTATATAAGGGATCTGTAACCATCAGAGATTTGACTCCCTTACTATTATGTGATATGTGGGCCTAATGAATTCTGCTTAGAGTCCAGTTGGTGAAGAGAACAGGAGAAAAACAAGCATACCCTTTTGTTACTCCAGCAGGTGATTTCATCATGAATTGGTGCTAGGTGGACTAGGTGACATTGTTGGTGTTGTGTGTTGGTTCGTTACTGTAAAAAATCCTCAATCTTCTACCAGATAGAGCCCATGGCTTTGGCCCTGGAAGGAGGAGAGTGGAAACATTGTAGTTGACTGGTACTTGATTTTATTAATAAATGAACTGTCAGCTGGTTGGCATGTGGGACACACTTATTAATCATCATATCACACCAAATGCTACGGCCTGCTATATCTCAGCTAGCTTGTATTTCTAGAAAACACACACATGAAACATACAGGTACATGTGCATGCATGTGTGTGTGTGCACACACACACATTTTCTTACAAAATTCCCTCTTTAGTGTACTCTAGACATGCTGCCTGTTGTATTGTGGCTAAGGCTGAAACGCTTTAGAGCTCAGACCAGCATTTACATTGAGATCTATGCAGGCCACTTCAGATGAATTCCTGGAATGTTCTGGAGCAGGACCTGAGACTTGTCACCTGTTATTACTGAGGCTCTCAGTGCTGAGCAATGACTGGGAATTCCCTTCTGTGTTTAGCAATCAAGGTCAGAGCAGAATGATCATGAAAACCCAACAAGCAAGTTCTGTGTGAACTGCAAATCATGGTGTTATTCTAGGGGTCGTCATTCAGACATCTCACCTTGCCCTGTTGCCTTAGTCTGCAAAGTGCTGCTTAGTCTATGTACGGTGTCTCCCGAGAATCATGGTCAACATTGCCTGCAGTATGGCACTGCGAACTGCAGGGGGCAGTCGAGGATTGAGTATGAGACAGTTTGCCTAGAGGGCCCAGCAGCATGTCTCTGATTAGTTACTAGAGTACTATTTAAGATCTCAGAGCAGAAAAAGTGTCTACAAAGATCCCTTAGAGCTATGTTCAAAGTTGACTTAGGATTTTAAACTGACAGCCTCTTCAAAGCTCTTTAAGGACATGGGTCAGCCATGGGAGTCTGACTCCAGATGAATGGCTAACAAAGATCCCCCCACGTTTTTATTTCTCTCTCTCTCTCTTTTTTTTTTCCCTCCCTCCTTCCCCTTTCTTCCCTCCTTCCTTCCCTCCTTATTTCCTTCTTTCTGGACAGGGCCTTGCTGTTGTCATTCTCCTGCCTCAGTCTTCCCAGTTGCTGGGATTATAGGCTCATGTTACCACATCTGGCCTCTAGGATAGACTGGGAATTGAACCTGGGTTTCTCATGTGGACCCAGTCTGCGAAGCACAGAATCTTAGCAGCTTGTGCCACAGTGGCTGGGCCAGGAAGGCAATTCTTATTTTCTGAGCACCCACAACCTGCCAGGTGCCAAATTTAATGCTTTGTCTACAGGGTCTCATTTAATCCTCCCAGTGTGCTTAAAAGATAGGTTTTTTTATTTTTATTTTTTTCTTTTTTTCACCAGAGGGTCTGTGGGCTTACTAGAGAGAGATAGAGGAAGAAAGGAAGAGGCAAAAGTGCTCCCCCTGACCCATGAGTATGGTCACGCCTCGACCCATTCACCCCATCTCTCCCTCCTTTTGGGATTTTGGGTACACATGCATGTACCCCTGGTGTGTTTTTCAAGATGCTTGAGCCAGGACTCCAGCTTCATGGTTGGCCATGTGGGATCTAGCCACCTTAACCATCAGGTGACACAAAGTAGAAGTCCTGTCCCTAGCCATGCGAAGGAGTGTGCCCAGGGACGTTTATTCCTGGAAACCCACCACAACCCTTGGGCAGCTTGGCCTTGCAGTCTGGGAAACCTGGCATATATTGGGAGTCAAGTTGCCTGTCTGGTGGAGCAGACACATGCTAACCAGGCTCACGGAGGCTGAGGGAGGCACCAGAATGCCTATTTCACTTGGAAACGGTGCTAGGATTCTCATGTTGGCACCACGAAGCTGCTGAACTGTTGTCAGGCAGGCGATGAGTTTCATCTTCCTCCAGAGCTGAGGTGGCTGGGAGGCCAGGACAGGGAAGAACAGGATGGAGGTTGGAGGAGGAACCTTGGGCAAAGGATAAGGGCAGAAATAGTCCCCGTTGATTGATTTACGACTGAGAACATCCCCGAGTTAGGATATTTTTGTCCTTAGCCTGAGGGGCAGCTTAGAAACCAGTCCACTGGCTGCCTGTCCTGGAGCCTGGGACAAGACTATTCATAACTCCTCGTTTCCTTAAAACTGAGATCACCTTGGTGTCCCCCAGGGCCAGGAGCTTGCCCTTTTGTTTTGTCTCTGTCCTAAAGTGGAGGAGTATATGTTCTCAAGGCAGGCGACATCCTGTGACTATCTTGTCCCCTAAGACAAAACAGCTCCTTTTGGAGAGTGGAAATGTCAGGCACTGACAAAGAGATTCTGGCGTCATCTATGCCCTTGAACTGCCCTGATCCTGGCCTTGCACAAGCCCCTGGATCAACTCAGCACCCCAGAGCTGGAAGGACTTTGGGGCCATCAAACTTAATCTTCATTTTAAGGACAAGAAACAGAGGTGCACAGAGGGTCACTAACTTGTGTAGGGTCCTGCAGCCTTTTAGAGTAGAGCCAGACTTGCCTGGCTCCTGGTACAGATTTTTAAACTAACTCTTACTTGTCAAATGAGCCCTCTCTTATGCAACCTTTGAGTTGGAGGGGTGTAACAGAAATTCAATTACATTGTTTGAGAAGACCTGGAAAACTTGGGGTCCAAGAAAAACACTGTGGCAAGACGGGCAGATGCCCTAGGTGCCTGCATGTGCCTGTCTGCCTCTGCTCCTGTGGCAGGATGCTAAAATGGGACTCTTTCCTTAACCCCACAGCTGGGGAACAAAACAGTAAGTGCAAAAACATCCCCAAAGAGAGGTGCTAAATTGTCTGTGCTAGACTTGCAGAGGAGGTGGCTGGAAGCTGATTTTGCCATCTTTAGCTCAAGGGAACAAAGGATTGAAGCAGAGAGTTTGAGAGAATAGAGAGAGTTTTTCTTTAGAGATAGCAAGCTGCATGCACATCCTTCCTGCCGGAGAGGGGAGAGAACATGTGTATGTGTGTGTGGGGGGGTCTCCCCCATCAGGCCAGGGGTGGGAATCTCCAAGTGGACCATTCAGAGACCTAAGCCATGAGATATGCTTAGGAAACTGTAGCTGGATCAGTCTGAGATGTTAGGAGTGAGAGCAAATTGCACCTCCTGCAGTGGCAGGACAAGACACCAATGTGACCATGTAGAAGGGGCACCAAGGAGGACTGCCTGGAGGAGGCAATGTAACTCTAACAGAGGAAAGGACTTTTGAATACCCCAGGATCAAAGTAGCTTTGGATCAGCTTGTTCCAGAGTAGTTTGTTAGAAATATTCCTTCCCTTGCCTCCTCCGTTCAAGCCTGTCCCCTCCATCCTGCCACACACACCTTTTAGTTGGGAGGAAGGTAGCAGAGCTCTCTATACCTTTTTGACTGCCAGAAAGTGAGATTAAGGGTCCCTTTCTTGTGACTAAGCCCTGCAACTAAGGGGGAAGGGACATAAAAACAGGCACACAGGTCCTTCTGTTGTACTGACATACTTCCGAATCAGCCCTGGGAAGAGCATATTTCTGAGAGTTTGAGTGGCATGTGGCTTGCTCTACTCTTCTCCTGTCTCCTCGCACTGATCACACTCTAGCAGGTGCCTTCTGCTGTTGGGCCAGTTGTCCTACCCGAGGAGCTGGCAGCCGATGAGCTGGCCTGTGCACGTGTTCTGTTTTCCTGTCCACTAGGTGGTGTGTTTCCAGGGTCCTCCTGGCTCTGCTGGCATCCTTACAGGGCACTGTCTTTCCCTGCTTCCCACCTGGGCTAGATTGGGTACCAGCCCCGGGGTAGTAGCATACAGCTTGCCTCAGCCCACTCTAAGGAATAGCACATGTGGGCTGCCCCAGCCCCTCTGCTTCTCCTCTTCTTCCCTCTTCTCTCTTAAGCAAGTTGCTTCGCTCATCTGAACCTCAGTCTGTTCACCTGTGAAACAAGCATGGAAAATGATAGCTGCTGGGTGGTTGAGGGGACTGAAACAGTAGTGGGGTTAGAAAACAAGTTTCAGAAGTACGATGTTTTAAAATTAAAACCCAACCCAATCCAACCAAAACAAAAACACACCTCAGAGTGCAGAGTTGTTGTCCTTGCCAGGCCTTTGACCACACCTTTTGTGGGGAGGACAGCCTAGAAATCATGAGTCAGCTTTCCAAAACTCAGGTGGACGGGGAGAGGCAGGAGTGAGTCAAAGTCTCGGCCACAGTGTCGTGTGGGGTCATGGGGCACAGGCAGGACAGGGAGAGCTGTGGTCTTAAATCAGACGTGAGCAGCAATTCGATATCGAATCTAGGTCACAGAGGATACAAAGGATTGTCATGTGTCCTTCTCTCACACTAATACGATTTTCCCAGCACATTAGTCCAGGAAGGATGGCTGACACTCACATCCCCATGTCTAAGTGACCCAGACGAGGTGGGGGAAGAGCCCACGAGACTCACCCAGTTAGTTATCTTCCAAGTACAGAAGAAGAGTGGCACTCTCTTTGTTACCCATGCTCTTTAAGTTAGTCCCATATTGACAACAACCAGTATTTTTTTTTTTTTTTCTAATTGTCAGAGGGTGTGTGGGCTCCTCAGAAACAGATGGAGAGAGAGAGAGCTGAAGAAAGTACTTTCAATAGGTCTGGTCAGTTACTCCTCCATTTCTTCATCCTGTCAGGATTTGGGGCATGCACCCATACATATCTGGCATGTTTATCAAGCCATGTGAATGGAATTTGAACCATGGTCAGTCATGTGGCTTCCTTAACCACTTACCTGCTATGTGGCCCTGGGCAAGTTAAATCTTTGTGCTTCTGTTTCCTCATGTGTGAATGGGAAATGGTTCTTGGGTAGAGTTGTTCAGAGGCTGGCATCAAAACGTGTAGGTAAAACACAGAAAACAGTGCTGGCAAGAAGGCTGCTTCTCTCACACAGTAGATGTTCGAGCAGTGGCTTGCATCTAGGGCTCTAGGTGCCAACGTTTGAGCCTTTCAAGGGAGTGCTGCTGGCTCTTAATTTTTTCCCTCCTCTGTACACTTTAGTTTCTAACCTTAGAACACACACACACACACACACACACACACACACACACACACACACTCTTCTACCTTTATCCCCCCTCTATCCCACTATCCCATCTCAGACTCCGAGGGAAAGGATGTATCTGGCTCATTGGCAGAAGGAAAG